AGAGATTCAAAAGAAGAGATCAATACTCTTTTATATAGCTTTGAATGTGATGAAAGCATTCATTATTTTATTTGGGATTTCATTTCCAAGACAAAGGATATTATTTTTTAACCAAATTTATATTTTTCTTCATCGCCAACTCAATCCTTGCAAAATACCACTAAATTTAAGCTGAAAAAATTATATAACAAATATCTTATCTTTTTAAAATAAATAGAAATTATTAGCATTAATATTATGTCTATATCTTCGACAATAGTCGATATATATTATGGAAATATTAATTCATTCTTTATGTCAATGTTCAACTCATACACATATAGAAATATCGACAAACATTTTACCATTTTTAAATAAATTAAAATATATATATATATCGTTATTATGTCCATGTTAGTAATATCTTGTTGATATGTGTTTTATATTTTGTTGATTTTTTGACAATACAATAAAAAAGTCAATTCACTCTCATATCAACGTCGAATCAATGAATATAGAAAAATATCAATATGTTGATAAAAATTTAATACGTTGCTTCAAATATGGTTTTAATATTATATAGATCTATAATTGATGCTTGTCAAAAAAATAAAAAATAAAAAAAATAAAGATCTATGATTGATGTTGCCTGCTGTACGAAACATTTAAGCTCTGACCAAAGGGAATGATAAGAAGACGTGGTTTAAGAAGAAATGAGAGACCCATGTGAATTCTCTTATCAATTTTAAAGGAAAAAAAAATCTTCAACTTGTATCAAATAATTGCTCAACGTCACTGGAAAGTTACGATGAATCCATGTAAAACAAAACAAAAAAGAAACATGTCAGTTCGGTGAAATTATAAATTTAGTCTCTAAATTTTAATAGATCTATCTATTTAGGTTAGACCTGAGACTTAAAAAGTGATATCGAATTCTTCTCATAAACGATGTTACTCTATTATTTCGTTCTATCACGTACTAAATCAAACCCATGTTTGCCAAATTAACAAATATATAACATCATTTTTAGTTACTATATTTCAAAGTTCAAAATTAATCATTGAAACTTTCTAAATTCTAATAAATAAATAAACACAAATATCAAAGTTTTTGGATGCTAAATTTCTAATTCTCGTTTTAATTAAATGAAGCTCGAATTGAGGAAGTTGTAATAGAGGTTCAATAAAAATGTCGAAGAGAGGGACATTAGGATGACACGACCGAGTTGGAATAGATCGAAGATCGCTCTAGTAATGATTTTAGTAAAGCATATGTACCGAAGTTTGTTTGAGATGGTCAAAAGCACTCTTCAATAGTTTCAAGTTACATAAAAGTGTTCTTACAAAAAGTAAAAAACACGCCTTAAATTACCGAACTATAAATTACTTAATAGACTACTTTTAGCCCATATGCTTATTATCAAACACTTTTTATTTACGTACTCATGATTTAAATACAGAAACGAACGTAAAACCATCCTAATCGTTTTTTAGGTCAATGCTGACTTACACTCCTACTACTACATGCATATTACACTATCTTATAATATCGAAAATTTCACTATAAGATTTAAACTCATTCTTCGAAAGTATCTTATATTTTCACTCGCCAGAACGGTTAGAACAGCTACGAAAGAATTCAACGAACATCTTTTCCTTCTAACCTAAGTTTTTTTTTTTTTTAAACAAAGATTAATTGGGAGTGAAATTTTGTAATCTTACACAAGCCCTAATCTTTCATGAGTCAGCTACCACGAGGTGACAACTTCTCACTTCTCAGCATGATAAGATAACGATTCCTTTAATGATTTCTGAGAACTTGCAGTTGTCTCTGTAATCCGACGTGCGAATAGCAACTACAGAAACTACGAACATTTCAAAGAGAGAGAGATGAGAAGATATTTTCAATCACTAACTAGCAGGAAACCATGTCAGAGATTTGGTTGGATCCAACAATGAAAGAAGGGGCAGAGTTAACTGGCAAAATCATCTAAATATCTTTCCAGATAATGTATTAAAATCCATCAAGTTGCAGGAGATCTCATTCATCGAAAGTTGTACCTTTTTTTTATCATATTTACATCATTGAGATGGAATTGTTAAGATTTCAACTGAGCAGGAGCAACTAAATCAGCTAAAAGGAATTGGAAATCTATGGTCTAGGTCCTAGAGAGAGACAATTTGGACTGACAAAATTATGATTCTCTCCCTCTACTAAATCTCAATTCCTGAGAGACCCTGAAAAAAAAAAGAAATTCTATTGGCTCTCTAGGACATCTGCATCTTGAGTACTGAAGCAAAGAACAAAGTATTGAGCTTGCAAAAAAGAAGAAACGATCGGCTTACTTGACATGAATGGAGATCAGTAGATTTGAGAGGGATCTAGAATTCGTCTGCGACTTTGATGCCAGCTCCTTTGTCCCATTCCTCCGGGGCAGCGACATCAGCCATGATCTTCTCCTGACCGCGCCAGAGAATCTGGAGCAAACTCACCAAATTTGAGTTATCATCTACAGGCATGAGCAACAATGCATGCACATCGCATTATAATCCAAGAAAAATTGTGCATTAATTTACCTTGTCGATAACTCCGAATTCCTTTGCTCTTGTTGAGTCCATGTAGAAGGGTCTTCTCATCACATTAGACACTGTCTCTAATGACTGAGAGAAGATTTCAAGTTGTATAATGAATTAATATGGTAGTTGATCATATGGATCTCATGAGTTCATAAAAAAGAGTGGAAATAAACGTTTCCTAGCTAGGCTTACATTTCCAGTGTGCTTTGCTAGGAGTTTCACAAGTGTGTCCCTGTTTGTTATCACCTGAAAAACGAGTTGAAATATACAAAGCTCAACTTGTATTCTTCTAAAAACTGTTGTGAATGGCTGAAAAACGTTTTATTTTTCACGATATAAATCATTGAAAATCTTTGGGATCAAGATATAAGTTACCCAATTATTTTGAATCATTTCACTCAATGTATGAGGATGCAAAAATTTCCTAACTGTGATTACTTGATTGAGATTTTGAATAGAATTGCCTTTTTCACTTCTTTAATCAAAGTGCTAAGAGCTCCAGCAAAAATCAGTGTCATGAAAATTGAGTTCAACTCCAAAATAACTTATGAAGCCTGAAATTGATTTCGTTATCTTAGTGAAGCCATTTAAGTCGAATATTTGAAAAGATATCGAAGGATATTGACCTCTTTTGCACGAATGAGGACGTCACTAGCAGGCATCAAACCAGATGAAGGGACACGAGGCTGCTGTATCATGGCTGGAAAAGAATTCGATTATTGTATATAAGCAAATCTAGGTACCAAGTCAAAAACAGAAATTAAGATGCCAGATGCATCAAACCTTTGGCATGTGGCATCATAAAACGTTTGCCTTGACTTCCTGCAGCAAGCAATAAACAAGCTTGACCTATGGCAGCTCCAACAGCCACTGTATGTATCTGTATGAGATATCGGTTTCATATTATTTATTGAGCATCTTGTATTTCATAAAAAAAGTGGGGACAATATAGTCCTTACGTAACGGCCATTGCGTACATAAAAGAAAAGAGGATCAGAATACACAAAATCAGCAAGAGATTCAAATAACAGAGCATGATTATTTCCAAGGACACTGTTTACATTAAAAATTATTTACTTTCAATATTTTTTACAAAATTAAAATTATTAGTTTATGCAGGTTACTGGAGCAAAAGAGGTCAATCAACAGTATGTCATTTCTCAAGCCACTTGTGACATATCACCACCGTGACAACTTTTTGAAAACAATTCTCATGACCAGAGAGACCATAGCCTTGATGCAGTGTTAAGTTACACCAAGATAAAAATCTATGATATTAACGAGTATATCAAGACTCTCAATGTATCAGGTTACCATCTTGCCACCAAAAGAATAGTAGGAATGAACGGAATGGTTATGACAAGAAAACATACCTCATTCTTTAACTGCATCATAGCATCATAGATAGCAAAACCCTCTGTCTCCATCCCCACCTGAATGGCAAATAATTTAAGTATGTTGAGGAAAAGGATATCAAAGGAATGCATACACTTACTAACCAAACAAGATATAATGCAAGTCTTTTTTATTAATCAGTTAACCTAGTATAATAACCCACTTTTCAAGGAAAAACAAAAGATCATTTTAGATATTTGGTTTTTCATTTTCAGAATCAACAGAAATATAAGGTGCATTTTTCAGAAAAGCGAATCCCCAACATTATTATACACATATCTCAGTCTTGGACCAACCTATGCAGCAAGCTAAAACCCATCCATACTGGTTCAAACCCATTATCCACCATCAAATTAGTAAGCTAGTTCTTGAAAGATCCATCTCCTCTCCAATACCATATTCCGCAATATTTATCTAAACCATCCATATTTGTTCAGACCCATTTCCCTCCATCAAATTAATAAGCTAGCTCGTGAAAGACTCATCCCTTCTCCGTTCACAAATTTTATAATCTTGTGAAAGATCTACATCTTTTCATAATCAAATCTCATAATCTTGTGAAACACTCATCACCTCATATTACCCCATCTTCAGAGCTTGTGAAAGACAAACATTTTTCCATCGAAAGACTTCATAATCATGCGGAAAACTCATCTCTATACTATCAGATTGTTCATTCTATGGTATATGTGATGTGTAAGTCTCAAAAGTAGCATGACCATCTTAGTTAACAGCGTTCTAATGACACAAAATAGATTCACTCTCTTGCCACATAAATATTGAGCATGTTTTTATTATTAGTTTATTATTGAGATAATCACCACAAGAGTAAACAAATGTTGTTTATCAAATAATTCACCAAACATGCTCTGATATTACTGTTTTAAGAAAATACACCAACGCCCAATCTCACATATTGTGGATCAAGAAGCTATTCTTAAGAATTACAATCAAACATGTTTTCGGAAATGTAAAATCTCAAATTTACGATCTCATTTTCAATTTTCAAATAAAATAACCAAACCCTGAAGAACCCACAAACAAAAGAGCATGCTGGTCATTCACATATATTTTTTAATCCAGCAGCATCTGAAAGAACAGAACTCCAGGTCAAGACAAACAAGTCAATATTCATGTCAACACATAGATTAAGGGGCATGACTTATAGTCTGCAGGCAAGCCCTGAAGAACCCTGCGGTGGGCAGAAGCTTGTATAAAGCAAGAGGAAAAAAATGCTTGCTCTTTTCAACTTAATTTCACTTGTTTCATATAGCTGAATAAATTCAAAGCTTACAGTTTCGCCATCATCACGAGTTGTTCCTGTGGAGTTTATATAAAGATATATTGGCTCTTTTGGGTCCATCCATTGCAAGTACATCAATTCAGCAATAACTAGCTCCGTCACAGCTGGAACCAACTGAGAGTAGAAATGATTGAATGAAGAGTTATCAGGAAAGTAGCAATGTACATTACACAAGAAACTGAAATTTTCTTATTTATAAGAAGAAGCCAAAAACTCTCAGAATGTCGACACATGGAACATTCAGAATCAATTGTGCCTGAAAAAAAAATTACTAATATTTTGAGTGGCTATTTCAGTAGAGCTTATGCAACTCAAGAAAAAGAAACGCAAGTCAGTCTAAAACAAATTGAGCACTTCCAAAGAATTTCTGTCAAATTCAAAATCAGCAGCTGGATGTAATCACAAATCATATTCTTGCACTATCATAAGACCGAAGTACTCACCACACAACTTCATCGACACTTCCAATTTCAACCAACAAGGTTCATTATCAGCTTGACATCACTCGTCCCTGAACTATAACTTCACTCTATAGGCCTCTAAAGGTCTAAAATATGCAATTATCACGAGATGCACCTTTCCAGTTTGCATTAGTTAAAACTATTCCAATTGTTCATAAGTTCGAATAACATGCTTCTCTTCTTCTTTCAATGAAACTTCTCAACAACACGATATTGAATAAAATCGTAGTAATACTCTCCCCATCGGTAAGTTGAATAGTTTCTCGATTAATGAGTAAAACCGTATAACAGTGGACTAACGCTAATTCAAGCACTTACAGGCATTCCGATGTAAACAATTCTTCCATTAAGTAATAATGAAGGCAAGTCCGGCGGTGGCCTCCTCGGCCTATGCTCGTTGTAGGAAACTGATCTTTCGACCTTATCCAATAAGAAAACCACCAAATTCGCAACATTAGCTAACTAACAAACTTACTTCAAATTAATATGAATTGATTTAAAGAAAACTCCGTTTGCTCTCAGAAATTCATACAAGTACCTGTAAGAACATACAAGTAATATGAAAATAAGCGAGGGACGGCTAACTTACTTGCGCAGGTGCAGCCATGAGCTGAGGAGCATCAAACAAATCCAAATACGGAGGGGAATCAGAGTTGGAAGGCCGGTTCAGCAACGTTTCAGGTGAGGTAGAAGCTACTGAAGCGAGCTTCGAAAGAAATGGATCCTTCGGGTTTATCGGAGGCAAAGGTATTTTAGCTTTGCTTGTAGCGTTCGTACAGCAAACAGTTCTGAAATTGGTGCCTCTCGCGAGAGAAGACGATGAAGATTGAGACGCCATGGCCATGGGTTTCTGCAAGCTGATGGCCATGGGCAGCTTCATCCCAGTGGCCATTTTCTTGGATTTCAGCTTCTTCTCGAGAGTTTCAGAGAAATTAAGAAATGTAAGGAGTAGAATTACCTTATGACTCGTAGACGTTCGAAAGGGCCGATTGTTTGGGCCGGATAAAATGAGGAAGACCCAATTACTTGGACCGAAATCCATTTCATGGCCCAATTAGTTGGTCCAACTATCCATTATTGAGTTATTATAAAATTAAAGGATAATTTAGGTGCATTTTAAAAGATGGGTAGGTCTATTTTATTCTTGATATTTAAAAATAAAATCAATAATGTTCAAAATTTGTCTCCCCTGGTTGAGAACTCAAATAATTTTTCGAACATAGAAGAAAATTCTTTAATCACATTACTTAAATATTAGTGTGATACATTAAATGTATTAAGGAGCGATGGTTTAACACGATTTATTAATAGGTAGTATGGCGAACTAATTAAATAAAAAAATGGACAATCCAACCATTTTGATGGGACAAGTATAAGATATACATTTTAAGGCAAATTTTATGGTCCACCCAGCCTTGTTTCCTTAGTGAACACTAAAAGAATGAACATCTGAAATACATGTTTTATTTGTCTACCTTATAAGTAATTGTCTATCTGAGCATGACCAAATTTTTGAAGTCACACGTAATAAATCACGCATTCAATTTTCAAATAGACTCGTGTTTATATATATTATTGGAAATTACACTATATGATAGAAAAATATATATATATTTATAAAAATAACATTACTTTTTTTTTTTAAGATTCCCAAATTTTGGTGCTTTAATTAAGTACAAAATTGAGCTTCCTTAGGTCTAAAGGTAATTTATGCCACTTTTGTAAAATTTTAAACTGAATTCTATGTATATAAATAAATAAATTTTTTGGTGCTATTTTTGTAATGTTCTCTAAAATAATTTATAGAAATAATTCGAACCAAATAAAGATGGTTTGGAACTTTGGTTACACAAAATTTAGGCTAAGAGGCTAAAACAAATTATGTACAATTATAGGAATCATACCAAATTATTATTATTATAATTATTTTTTTGGCAAAGATTTGTTGTTTCTATTAATTTTATTTAATAGGAAGGCGGTCGCTTATTCACATTATTAATGGAGTTTTAATAATAGCTTTAATTATCATCATTAACGCGCTTCCAAGTTGTAAGATAATAAGATAAAACCCCAATACCCTAATTAATATCTTGATTTTTTTTTACAACAGAAATTAATATCTCAATCAATCACTTTATTTGAAGCATTAATTGCAAGTTTTTTTTTTCTATTCAAACAAATGTATTTTTCTTGCACACCAATTCCATCGGAAAATAAATGTTCCAATAAAATTATTAAAAAAAACGTGCATACTTAAAAGGAGTACAAACAAAGAAAAGTGCGAAAAATCTAAGGAAAATTTTTAGACCGAGACTGTTTGTGTTAAAACTTTTAAACAGAGAAGAAGAAACAGGAAACTGGATAACTACAAATATGTCAATTTAAATATAGTTCGATTAGTTAAAATATATATCCTCGACTATATTATTGGATTAAAAGAAAGAAATTGATACAAAAATACACAAATACTGAAAATATATGGGTAGAGTAAAAAAAGGATACCCACTTAATTTTTTGTAATTCAAAAGGTATATATAAATTACCTAAGATTTTGTAATTTTCTCTCATTTGCTCTCTTCAATTTTTTAAATTGAAAAATTAGCATGTAAAATTGTTCGACTGCCTAACAAAGTTTAGAAAATAAGAAACCTCTAAACCAACCCAATTCCTCTTCTACCAACACAAATATCAAATTTTCTCATAATTAATCTATAACAACGGCTCACGATTTCATTCATCGCAAAGCTAATTTGGGCACAATTCTGGAGGTTGATAGTTCGATTTTCTACTCTACAGCGCTGAACTTAAATTCAATTCAAAATTGGTCGACTTTTGTTTTCTTTTTCTTGGTCGGAAAATTGATATGACAAATTGGGGTAAACATAATATCCCAACACTCTATGAACACTTTTAAAAATGCTTTCAAGGTTAAGTTACAAGTTCAATAATTGTGTCTAATTGATCTATCAACTTCAAAAAGTGTATAATAAATCTCTAAACTTTCAATATCGTATCTAACATTTCCCTACACATTTAATTCTGTATCTAATAAATTCCTCACCTATTAAATGTTGTTTTAATCACCCGTTAGACACAACTAAAGTTTAGAAAAACTTTTTAAAGACCTATTAAACACAACTTGAAGTTCATAAACAAAACTTATAATTCCTATTTCCCGTTCTCATTTTAACAAAATAGTCAAGTTTCTTGCTTCCGTATCCAATTTTTCCAAAACATAAATAAAAGCATTATTTTATCAACTTAAAAAGCATAATAAATATTAAAAATAAATATAAGATAAAAAAAAACTTTTGAATATTTAATTCAAAATTCAATTTTCATATAAAAAATTACTTTTTTAATTAAAAATTATATACATCGAAAAAACAGAAAATGATTACTAAACATGTTTCTGAAATAATTGTCAAATGTAGTTCTGTTATCATTTATTAACAACGAAGAAACAAGGAACAAGAAACCAAGAAATGAAAAATAAAAACATTAACCGGGCCAAAAAAATCCGAATAAGGACCTTCCATGCCCTTTGCCAAGGACAAGGAATAGAAATAAGACACTGAGAAGAGTGATGTTTAAAAGGTGGTTCGTACAACTTCTAGTTGTAAAGGGAACCACAATGTGCAACAGTTAGGTCACTGCTAGGGTGTCATGGCCCAGCCATTTATTAACTTGGTCATCAACCAAACAAACATTACATGAAAAGAACACGAGACGAAAATAGATTATTCTCCCAACCCGAGTGTAGACTGTCGCTCTCTTTGAGCCGTTTAGATCAGTCATTCAGATCATCTACACAGTCTCAGATTCATCTATCGAGAACCGAGATCGACATCATACGACAATGAACAAATCCCAGCAGAACAAGTTAGATCCGTGATCCATTCAAATCAAAGTCAAAAGATTGTGCTGCAGATTCAAATCCTACAAGATCTTATAATCTGCATTTCCTGCCAAAAGGCTAACTCAACCAAAGGAAATTGTATAAGATCTGGAAAGGGGCTATAAAGAATCGGATTCCTTCATTATCACTTTGTTTTCCGAGATCGCTAGATCGATCAATCTCGAAACACCCATGTGAATTCATATCAGATCTGCATTGAACTTAAAGCGGGAAGAGAAAGGTGATATGTTTTGTCACATTCAAGTTATCAAACAACATGGTGGGTAGAGTTTGGTTGGTAAAGTTGGAAATGTAATCTGCCAAAATATGGTGAGGTTTTCCAGAATTGGTTTTTCTTTCTTCAAAAGTACTTCAAAAAAAAACTGACATTGAAACTATGAAGAGAGAGAGAAAATTGACATGTCAAACTCATACCAAACTCAAATAGATATAATATATCCATCCAACAGCTCGCTTTTTCTCAGCATGTCAAATCAAAACAACAAATAGGACATCACAACCACTTCTCAAATTTGAACCAAATTCAATTCTCTTGTCCAATAAGCCTAGTGAAACCCTCAATTATTAGAGGCTCTCTTTTGGATTTCTAACATGACACTTTTAACTTTAAAATCACCATCTTTCAAATCTAAACAACTTCAAACAAACATACCTTTACCTTTACTTTTCCATTAATATATATATATATTGTTCAATCCAACTCATGTACACCTCGAACTAATTTCGTAAGCAACTACCTAAATTAGATAACTCGTAGAGTATTTAACATCCTTGTCGACAACCACCATGGTTTGAACTTATAACTCAACATATAGTTTGCCCTTTGATCATCGAGCCGAACCATGGTAATTCTTTTACTCCCTTTTTTTTCTTTAACAAAAGTTGAACTTTCATTGAGAAGAATGAAATAACACAAAAGAGCATACAAAAAAGAGTCCAACAAAAGGGAGTCCAATGTAGCAAAATCAAACCTAACGAGTAATTACAAAAGGTTTTTGGGCATAAAGCCCAAAGAGAAACATGAAACCGCAAGAACCCAAATGTCCTCACAATTTCTCTCAACCCCTCTAAAAAACTTGTTATTTCTCTCCTTCATTCAATTATGCATTCTTTTTACTTATTGAATGCAGAATTTTCCTCGATATTATATTAAAACTTAAATACCAACCACAATCAATGCACATACATATCGTATGCTTTTAGATGTCTGATATTTATTTGTGTTGTCAATACATTGTACTGTTCGTTGTTAAATACACAACCTCATCATGATAGCCCATTCAAGAGCACCAAGAATCAATATGGTAGCATGAATTCTCAAGAAAAGCTTTTCCCCTACATACTTTTCCAAAAGAGCTCAAGATTCTTTACCAGAGATAGATGAGAAAGGAAAAACAGAGAACAATTGAAAAGAAAATGTTTTGATCTGATTGCCACAACCCAAATGGAAAGAACATGGCCTTGTAAATGCAATCTAAACCCACAAAAATAACATCAGAAACAGAACAACCTTGGCCATTTTCTAGAAGAAAAATATACTTACAACAACAACAATCGATTAATTCTCACTGTTTTCTAGTGGGATCCATAATCCTCTCCAATTCCAACTTATTACAGCCTTTCTTCTACCTCCTTTTCTCTGCAAACTCCTCTTTTCCCATCAATGGAAAAAAGAAAAGGAAGAGAAACGAAAATCTCCAAATCCAAGCCACCAAGACTATCACATTATTGAGCAGAGATATATAATTAATTAATAGCAACAATTTTCATCACTTACAAAGACGACAACGACGACACTGTATAATCAATCTCCCCATTTCAATTTATATAACAATCACAGCCATCTCAGAGAAAAGAGAAAAGATCAATAAACATTTAGAGGGAGATAAAAGAGATTATTAAACAAAGTAAACAAACAAATTACTCAACTCCTGCACCTCGTGATGGCGCTGCAGCCACGACCGTAGGGATTGGCTTGAGCTCCAGGCTGGCAGTTGTAATAGGAGGCGCCGCGTCTAGAGCACGGCACAGTGTTCCTCTTCAGAGCGCCGTAGCTGATGTACTGGCTGGTGGCCAGGATGCGGCGGCTGATTTCCGAATCAAATTCGAACTCCTCGCCGCCGAAGCACTCTGCTATGGAGCCCTTGCAGGACGATTGGTCCGGAATCCATGCGAGGCTGTGGTGGATCCCGAGGCCGCCGTGAACGGCGGTTGAGGAGCAGGTGAAGACCACAAACACGGCGGCGCAGATCAGGAAGGTCGGAGAATGGAATCCGGCCATTGCCATGAAAAAACAAGCTCTCTCTCGCTCTGGCTCTGGCTCTCTTCTCGTCGGAGTTGGTGGTTGCTTCTGCTCCGGCGGTTGGTCCGGTCCGGCGGTTCGTCGGTGGCTTCTTGTTCTTCTTCTTTAGCGATGAAAACGGACAGTGAAGAGGGCAGTGGAAGACTTATTTAGAACGTGGTCTGAAAATATGCCATTCGTTTTGCTACTTAATTACGAATATGCCCTTCTGTGAGATTCTTTTGAAACGTCATGGACAACCACTCCTACCAACTCGCGGAAAAATAAAGTTAAAATATATATATATATATATGTATATGTATATTTAATCGAATTAAATATAAATAAACAAGTTTGCCAAACGCCGACGTTTTAAAAGATGCCATTTGGTGGCAATTTCACACCACTAACTTTTGGGTTGATTTTGATTGAGTATATATATATTTTACGGGTAGATTGTGAAAGTAGAAATTTCAATTCAGACTAGCTGAGTTAAGTTGACGATTTCGATTGATAGTAATAATAATCATATCATATTCTCAAATTTATGAAAATTTATTGTTTTAAAATTTGCAACTTATAATATTGTAAAAAATTGTTTTTGTTTTTGTAATTTTATGAAATGTATAATGTATTTTTAAGATATATGAAAAATATTTTAAAAAATTATCATGAATAGTTAGTTCATCCTGGAGTAAATTAAAAGAAAATGAGTTCAATCACAAATAATTGAAAAAAAGTGAACATAATATTTAAAGATAGAAAATTAAAACGAAATCATTATCAGTAATTTTTTTGTTATTGATTATTATTTTAGAAGATTGTTTTTTCAATTATTTATTTTTTTTATTTCTTATTATACAAACCATACTGATGAATCTGACTTTATCCAATTGGTCCATTTTTTAGCTTCACAAGATTACCAAGCAATGGCATTTTGGTAATTGAAACATAATTATGGAGGTATTTGAGACTTTTTGAGTTCCACCGAATACAGATAGTTGACCGTCTGTCTTCCTTCCGTGGTTGGTGAGGAGAAAAAAATGAGATTTTTATTTTAAATTTCAAAAAATAAATACAGCTTATAAATAATTAATCTTTTTTCTTTTTTAAAGAAAAAAGAGGGAGAGGAAATTATTATATTTATTCTTTAGAAGTTAAAAAACAACTTATAAATAATTAATCTCTCTCTTTTTTAAAGAAAAAGGAGAGAGGAAATTATTTTTAAAGTCCGTCAAAGAATCTGTTAACCGAAACGCGTTTATTCCATGCTTTTCCTTTGCGTCTCTTTTTCACCAAACTCCCCACTCATTTCTCCGTTAGCTCCGTTACCGTTAATTCCCAACCATTTTTATATTTTATTTTATACATATTTAATAAAGTGGTTTGTTTATTGTTTATGGCGTATTAATTAAGGATGGAATACAAATTATACAAAATTTTAAATTATGTTTATTTATTGTCTAAGGAAATATTTGTGGTGCCAACGAGAGTTAAGTGTTGATTGAAATTCAAAAGAATTAATTAAACCAATTTTATTTGGTTAGTTTGGTTGATTGATAGAAATTGAACAAATCGAATCAACCGATTTGATTTGATTTGAAAAAATTATTGTATAAATTAATAAAAAGTTTAAAATTCTTTTAGTCCTTGTAATTTTGAATTTTTTTTCATTTTGGTTTCTAGTCCATTTATTTTAATGGTTGTACTCATAAGAGTGATCATTTTAACCTCTATTTAGAAAATTTTAACACAAATTTTATACCAATGGAAACTTTTTACTACAAAAGTATGACTGCATTTCAAGAAATTTAATAAATGAAACATTATACTAAAATTTTAATTGAAATTAATGAGATAGAAATGAAAATAAAGTCTCAAAATAGTCACTTTTTTAATATTAGAGAGACAAAAACAATCGTTCGAGAGTATAAGAATTAAATAGAACAAAATTTTAAATTCATGGGATCAAAATAAACGTTTTGAAATTACAACAATCAAAATGAACCAAATCTAAAATGCAAATACTAAAAAAAAAATTTATAACATGCTAAAAATCTATTTAAACATAAATAAAAATTTGGTTTACACCCATTTATCTAAATTTGCAGATGAATTTAATGGAAATAAAATTGAATTATTGGAAGCTTTTTCAAGAGAATAAGACTTTTAAAATTGGCCATCAATGACCTCGAAAAGGCCTTCCAAAGATTTTCCTTGTCTGTCATCTTTATATTGAAGTTTTACTTTTCAATTATCTTTTTCCATTTTCCTTCTAAATTCCCAAGTTTTTTACTTTAATTTGAAGAAAATGGAAATGGACAAGCTAAGAATATATACTTATTCTTATCCCTCCTATATTACAAAGGGGAATAGTTAGAGAACCATTTTTAGACCTATTTGTTATATATATAATTTTAAAGTTTTAAACTTACCCCTAATAACAATAGTTTATATTTTATTTATTCCACTATTTTATTAGAATTAAATTAATACTTCTGTTGAAAGAATTAAAATAAATCTCGTTAAATAAAAAAATGTTCTTAAATCTTAATCTAAAAATAAATAAAAAATTAAAATAGACAAGAACAATTTTAACCTGAACTTGATAAAATGTATCAACTTTTACACTAAACTTTTAATTTCATCAAACTGCACTCTAAACTAAGATAAGCAGTGCAATCTTAAACTTTAAAAAGTGTTGCAATGTTTACTTTCTAATAGATTTTTTTTAAAACGCTAATAGATTTTCTTTTAAATAATTGTTGAAAAAATTATTCTCATACACCTCCAATAAATTATAAAACATATTCTACTTCAAAAAAAATTATAAAACATATATTTAGTATTGACATTAAAATTAGTTTTTTTTTTTGGAAATTTTAAGTTTTAAAAAATTATTTAATGGTCAATTATGTGCATTAATCAAACTAAATTTTGTGCTAATATTGATTTCCATTAAACTAACAAGTTGTTTGAGTTTTTTGTTTTTTTTTCTTTGGTTAAAATTAGTCAGTAAATTAACAAAAATTAAATTGATGATAAAATTTACAACATTTATCTAAATATAGAACACATTGATGAAATGATAAATTTACGATAAACTATACTCACATTAGCACAAAATGATACCTTCTTTTCCTCTTCGAGGAAAGAGTATTTTAAACCCAAACATTATTTTAAATAGTTAGGTATGATTAGATTTAATACCCACCTTCACTCTCTTTCTAGATCTCCTCATTTTCTCCTCTCATTTTAACTTTTAGCACCCTCTTTCATCATTCTTCCAACAGAAGGAAGAGTATAACAATGTCTTTGATTTTCTATTTTTATTAAACTTATTTTTCTAATGTTTTATTTTCTAAAAACATTAAAACTCTTCTTCAGTTTTCAAGTCTTCAAAATGAGACTATGATTGAAGAATAGTTAAAAACAAAAATATATATATATATATTCATAAGTAAGCATAATTTATAAAAATAGAAAATAAATGCAGAAAGTGTGAATCAAAAACAAAATTTTGGTTGCTCTCTCATACTTAAGCATGACTAGTTAATTATCTTGTTACTTAGATGCATATAACCATGAAAATGAATTAGAATAAAGAGTATATATTGTGGTATGAATGGGTGAAAACCACCAATGTACGCTCTAATTCTATTGCACCTCTTCTTATTTAGATCTTCCTTCACGAGCTCCCTTATATCCCTTGTATTAAAATTTCTCCTAATCTTAAAAGAGGTCTTTGTCATCTTCTCTCAAGATCATTTTCTCTCATCTCAAATAAGTTTAGATTTAAAACACAAGCAACTAATTAAACAAGTTCATCTTAAGCACTCAAGCAAGAACTCCAAACATTCCCTTAATTTAACAATAAGCATGCACTAGTAAGTGGTAAGTAAATTTCAAACTTAAACAAGGACTAAAGTCTCCCATTTGTAGTGATTAGTGAAGTTTGATGGGCAATGCTTGAGAAATTAAAATGGCAAGAGTCCCCTGGTTAGTACTAAGCAAGCTAGAAAATGGAGAGGCATTTGAAGATATCCCAACTGTACAATTTCAAATCAAGTCTTCATTCACAATAAAGAATCAAAATCTGCTCGTTAAATCATCAAATAGTCACTGGGCCAAGTTAGCAAATTTGTACTAATCAATCAAGATCCAAAATTTGTGGATTACAAATGAAAAAGAGTAATCACCCCTTGAGTGCATTCCTTCCTTTCAAATTACAATTTAAAAAACATAATATGCCAAAAAAAAAAAGTTAAATTATAACTTAAGTTTGTGTACTATAAGTCATCTTTTTAGTTCTTAAAAAATTGACAACCAAGAGAGATGAATGCATAAGGAGAAAGAAAATATAATAAATAGTTGTCACTTTTTTAATGGTATAAGTAAGAAAATACCTAAGTACCTAAATGTTATCCTTTTATAAAGTTCAAGGATTGAATAGATACAATATTCAAGAATATTAAAGAGAGATAGTGTGCCTAACCTAACTATACTGCAATTAGTTAAAGCATATATACTCGATCAAAAAGTAAAGATTTCAAATTTTCTTCTTGAACTCGAGAGAAAAAAAATGAAAAGAAGAGAGAAATCAATTATGCAGTCAAGTAGACATGATTACTGGGGCAATTCAACAGTGAGAAATAAAAGAGGGCTCACTAGGCTTTTTTTCTTCGGTAAAAAGCTTTTGGTCTTCCACCTCATACAAGATTCGAAAGTTTCCAGCTTTCACGTAATGGCCATCATATCTATAAGATGACATTAGAAATACCTGAAATTAATGCAAAAGAAGGTACAAACGATCCCAAACCAACAGCTGGTTCTGTTTACAACTATACAGGAACAGTAGTGGGGACTGGATGCTAAAAAGTCAACAGTTTATGATCAACATGAGCCTATGATCATGCCAAGGATACAGATACAACCAGCTAATTGAGAGAGTTGGCATCTTCTTACACTGAGGTTGATTATACAATACAATACGCTTTCACCTGAGGACTGAGCGAGCGGAATCGATGGCATTTTCTGAGGTTGGACCCATCATTTAACTTTGTACAAATAATGTATGCCAAGAGTGTAACAACTAGGTATGCGTTTACCCTGGCATATGAAGGCAGGTATGAGTGGAGTTCAGAAAGCAGACAACTGATACAGTGCAAACAGTATAAAAACGTAAATCAATTAATACAGGAAAATTCCCACCTGCCAAAACTATTACATGGTGTTTTTCTGTCTTAGCATACTCGAATTGCATATGAAAACAAGTTACTTAACCTACAAATGGAAGTTTGAACTTGAAGACGCCCTCTGTCATGGTTGTTATAGGCTATAACAGCATCAGTTTTGATTATAAAAAAAATAATAATAAATAAATAAATAATCGGGAGTCGGAGCTTTGATCCCCTATACTCAAGGACACGTACACCATTCTCAATGCTCGGACCCGGGAGACATCAAGGATTTTTAGTATTAAGTTCACCTAAGAGTTTGAACTTGAGGCCTCTAAACCAATATAACCAAAAGATCCCCAGCCATTACCAACCAAGCTGTCCATTGTTGCTTCGATAATATAATTGTGCATTATGCATATGTTAATTTTAGAGGAGAAAAAATAGAGAATGACAAATAAGATTTCGTTAAATTGAAATACATTCGGATACAAAGCTAATAACCTATTTATACTACCATAATCCTAAATCATGATTCAAATAGGAAATATAATTCAAATGATATAAACTAAATTCAAATAACATAATCTAATGATAATTCAAATAACACCATCTAATAATATAATCTAACAACATAAACAAGCTCAATCAAACTAATCTATTATATTGTTAACTGAACGGGTACGTATCACTCAGATTGGGACGCAGTTAATGTGTCTTGCAAAACCGAGCAATGACTGTCATGTGCTAGAGCCTTCTTGCAGACAAAGAGGGAAAATACGAAACTGAAAATAACATTTACAAGATATAGCATGATATTTAAATTAGATCCACGACAACCCGCATACGATCTGTCTACATGAGGCTTCTTTCGACAGCCACTTTTTTTAATAAGAAACCTTTGTTAAGTAAAAAAGGATAAATAAGGAAATTCATCAAGCAACTGAAGGAGGTTACAGAAAAAAAAATCTCTAATTAGACAAAATAAGAGAGAGAGACAGAGAGAGAGCGGTATGAACATGAAATAACCCCTAAAGAAAATACACCTGTTATAGGAGCTCATAATCTACCTTGAATATTAAGTGGTAAATAAGCTTAATTACGTCAGTTTGTTGCGTCGTTGATGGAAAAGGTACATATCAAACCTCAGACAGCAACATAGTTCATTTCAAAACAAGCAGCGACCACATTGCTAAACTTGCAATCAATGTGCAGGGTAAAACAGAAAAATATACCGGATTTAAAAGAATTAAAAGATACGGTTCAATATCCAAATTCGATCCATGAGCCTACAAGAAAGTAGATGCAACATGCAAATGTAGACAAAAAAAGAATTACCTTTCTATCGTTCTTCATAGTATGGAGGTGTTGACTGAACACACAATTCGTTGTCATCCCCATCATCTTTGTCATCATCCTCATCTTCTTCATCTACCCAGTTGCTGGGATGATGTTGTGAAACGGCAGGGCCATTTATATCAGACCTCTCTAAAAGTACCATGTAGCCCAACAGGAAAAAAGTTACAAGCAGCAGGTGTAACAAGATAATATGATATTTTCTAGGTATTTCTAATAATATCAAGTGTTATTCCTAATTTTGGCATTTCTACTTTCTGGAGTGCTAGGTTAGCAAATGAGCTACTGACCTTGACGTTCTCTTCCCCGATCCTTTCCCATAGGATTGTCACTACATTAAACAGTCAAGCTAATCACTTAAAAATTACAGGTAAATATATCTGGAGAAAGAAGTTATTTAAAGAACCAAGAATTAGAAATGAACTCTAAGGTAAGTTTTCTCAGGTAAGCACAGTTACAGTTTATAAGTTACAACATAATCCTGTTGCTGCACAGTGATATGCCCCTGTCTTCCTTATTTTCAGTCTGCTTTGTCTCATCAATTGTGTAACCATTCTTCTTCATTATTGTTTTCCATACTTTACCCAACTGCTCCGCACTTCTTTAGGCATTTTATATTAGTTGTCAGATCTCTGTTAAAAAAAATGCAATATACAAAATTCATGTTCTTCAAAATATGATGACAAGCCAGTGCTTTGTTTGGCATGAGGTACTTTACTTTTTGACATAGCTAGTGAAAGGACATAATTTTCCGGCAATGATATCATTATTCCACTTGCAAAACCTTGTCCAGTCCAAAAGAAAACAAAAACGGAAGAAATTTAGTTGGATAGGACTGAAGCTTCTAAATTAGAGTAACTCCACATCACCTTCCAATACTATAAATATTATTGGAAAAGTAGATGTTCAACCCTCGCAGAAAAGATGAAGTCACTGTGCCCAATTTTATTCAGTAAACTAGCATTTACATATTGGTGCAAAATTCATAGAAAGTGCTACACCCATCATCATATAAACATAACCAGAATATCACTTCAAAAATAATTAATATGGAAACAAGTTGCACTGTAAAGGATACCTTGTACGATCAACAAGGTTATTTGCTTGAGCACACCCAGCATTTGAAATCTGCATTGTACTAATTCGTTGAATTTCCATCTGTTCACAAGAACTCAAATTTCTCTCACCTTGTACCTGTCCTTCAGCAGCATTACCACTTCTTGGTGCACTTCCTACGAAAAGGGTTGAAGGATGATTTTAAATAAATAAAAAAATTGTCTATTTATCTAAGAAATCTTATCCCAAATGAGAAAACCAAAGATATTGTGACAGGGATAAAAAATGAAAAGGTTCATGTTCGGGCATGAACAAACAGTGACCTGAGAGTTCAGACCATATTCTGGTATGATCGGATGGATGCCCAGAAACATTAGCTCTGGACCCATCTTGCTGTGGTTGGGATGCAGTCCTGTGATCAGATTCACCATGCTCAGTGGCAGCCTCTTGTGGAAGCTGTGCTCGGCTTCCCACATGGAGCTGTGATACTAGCATGGTAGCAAGTACAAGTGTAACATCAAAGTTTGAACCGGAACCATCATCTAGACCGAATTTTGGTGCCATTAGAATTGGCCTGTATGCCCAAATACAAAATCCTATCTCATTCCAGATCAAAGTTAATGGTGTATGAAAGTTTATTGCATCATAAATGACCAGGCTAGACAAATTACTTTTAAGGATTAGAATAGGATGGACGTAATAATCCTCCCTGGGGGAGTTAGGATACATAATCCATAGACTACAAGATTCAAAACTATAAATAACTTTCCACCAGATCTACATGTCATTTAGCATTTAACCATGTAGAATTCATAAAATATATATATAGACAAATCTTGTACATTGTTTATCTTCCATTCATCTCATTTCTCTGAACTATCATCCAAACCCTAGTTACCGAGTGCTAATCAGAAGAATGAAAAAAACATTTTCAAGCCCAAGTCAAGCAGTTAGAAGTACAGACCCAGTAATTCAGCACTGTTATGATAATTACCTCTAACTGTTAAGGAAATTAACAAAACACTAAAAAGAACAAAAGAAAAGGAAGCAAAAAAGTAAATAAAAAAATATGTCAGAACGTGTTCAATTCTTACTCCCCAGCCTTTTCAAAATATAGGTGGATGTCAACTTCACAGCACTCGCAAAAAGAAAGAAATGCCTGAAATTTGATAATGAAAGTAGGTTAAAAGAAATGCTTAAAAGATGAGTATCAAAAAATAGAAGCCGTAAATTTATCATGCTTCCTAAATAATAGCATATATCATTTGCCGAAGAGCATGTAAGCTAACGCAAGCTTGTCCAAAATAATAATAACAGTAATATCAACTCACCACAAAACATATAGAAGAAAAATTTAGTACCATCAGAAGGGCAGCACTCCAGACCCAAAAATAAAGGTTTAATTGGAAGTACCTTCAATTCTTTTACTCCAAATGTTATGTCTACTGGATCTCCACTGTGAGAATAATGGACAAACTCCTCCATAGGATCTATCCAGAGTTGAGTATGGAGCAGCGCATCATTGTCTGCAGTTAAAGAAGGAGGCATAACCTGAATCTAGGTAGATCCACAGAAAATAACTATTCTTTTTTTACAAGAAGGAAAATTACATATTTTCAAGTAGCAACATCTTTATAGTGGAATGTATTTAATTGATTTAGGCATGTACAAATGATCATTACCTTTGGTTGGGTCTATATAACTTCTAAGCTCAACAGCCTTTCCTTCAATCTCACTTGCAGCTTCAGAAGGCAGAGAAGTCGGTTCTGTTGCAATAATGGTGATCTCCTGCAAGGATGACTGAAAATTTGAGAGTAATCTATTCAGATCTCGAGGCCTCACAACTAAGTCACTGGGGAACTGTCTCCTGTCAAGAGACAAGTGTTGTATGTCTGGCTCAACGTTGCAAGAAATGCAGTATGTTTTATTCATTCCTGCATGACAGATAATATTGACATATTTAAGAGAAAACTTATCATAAAACTATAAAACCGTGTGGTATTGAAAACACAAGAACATTTGGTAAGACCACTTTTTATAAACCAATTCTGACCAGTTTAGGATAATCTTCTTTGATCACTAGATGGAAAGTAAACATGGAATGCAATAACAGACATCGTCGTTGCTGACTTTTCATCTTTGCATCACTTCAATGTGCTAATTGGACATAGTTATATATATATATATGCCAAAGGTCTACACACTACCCCTCTCTTCTTCAACATAACTACCAGCATAATTGCATTTGCAGCATCAGATGCAATAATGTTGTATGCCAGACGTACATGGCACTAAAATTCTTAAATTTGCTTTACTTGCACTCTTCAGTTGTAGTTATCAGATGATTTACAATCAATCAATGTCAACACATCAGAACCATGTAAGTTAGACATCATTGTATGACATTCCTAATATGCCAGCATCTGCATTTACCAATAGCACATATAAATTGAACATGGTTTTTAGCATAAATGTGTGAGTACTCATATAAATTGGAAAGGGCAACTCACCGTTGAAGCATTTCAAACTCCATTGCACTTTTAATGAATCGGGATCTGGTAACTGCACTCTCAGATGGTCTATACTTGCAATTGGTGTCCTAAGAACAGAGCAAACAGCCTTACATGGCACAACAAGTAAGCATGAGTGCCAAGTAAAGAACTTTTTGTGGATACAATACAACATAGTATCACACATACCTTCAAAAGAACACTGCATTGCACTTGATTACCAGAAACGACATAGGCATCAAAGAAGCCAGGCTCAAATGTTATAGCTTGATAGGCAGATCGTGATGCATTGAGGGTGTAAAATGCAAGCTGAACTTGACAATAAAACGATCAGCATTAAAATTGATCCTTTCATATAATTTTCATCCCGAAACATTTTGCAGACTAAGCAAGCATTAAGGTTTCAGCCATATTTACTTCCCTCTTATTTTACAATTTGACATAGAACGTTCATTTCATATGAATTGCAGTAAAAAGTAAGTCCATATAGGACGATGGTTTGGGGTATAGTTTCATGTCTTATTGGTTCAATTCTAAACTTTGCTTTTAACTTCTCACGTATCAATGAAAAGTTTATTTCTTGTTTGAAAAGAAAGTCCTTTTATAGGATAAATGTTATAGTCATGTATATGATGGAGCGTCCCTTGTTTCAAAGAGAGGAGTACGGGTTATTCACATTTCATTTGATGGTCAGGGGCAAATTGAAAGCTAAGCAATGGTATGTTTGAGAATGTGAAGGAAAAGGAAATACTGGAAATGTTGAATACTGAAATTTTATGTAAGGGAGGAGGCGGGGGCTCTCCGGGGAGGGGATTTCAATGGAGGAAAAATGGCAAGAAGACACTTGTGCCAGGTCATTTTAAAGGATAAGATGAGAGCATTCAAATAAGAAAAATGGTTGAAAGAAGGCGATGAGAATATGGGTTTTTCCATAGGCTCTCGGCAGCTGGAAAGAGGAAGAGTTTCTTGGCTAAAATTATCTCAGATGAAGGAGTTAAGTCTTTTACAAGAGCACAAAATTGAGGAGGTTGTCAAATTTTTCAAAAACTTATCCAAAAGAGGTAGGAGAGAGGTTTGTTGCAGAAGGAGTGGAGACAAGTCCTATTAACCAAGAAGTAAGTTGTTGGTTGGGAGACCCTTTATTGAAGGAGACACTTTGCCCAAGTCCAAAGAGTGTTCCTCTATGATGGAGAGAAGATTATAGTGGACTTGTCGTTTCCTGATGAGGGTTGACCCTTTGGCGTGCTTTTTTTTCTTTTTGTGAGGCATTTGGCTTGAGAAAAATTAGTAGGATTTGTGAGAGGTTGAGAGATCTTGGGAAGAGTTTGACCTCTTGCCAGGTTTAATGTTTCTCCTTCGGCATCAACTTCTAAGTATTTCTGTAACTAATTCGGTAGGCCTTATTCCTTTGCATTTGAGCTCTTTTGCTCTTTTTTTGTACGGTTAGTTCAAGTTTTGGTTTGGCTCCTTTTACTAGGTGAAAGTTTCGCGTGATGTCGATGAGAAGAAATTTACTGGATGATGAAATAAATTGATATGTACAACAGGCTAATTGGAAATCTTAGTGGTTTTCACCCGATGATTAGGGAGGAACCAAGATAGTGGCCTTTGCATCAATCTTTGAGTTTCTCTGTAAAATCTGTATGCTCGCATTCTCTGATTACCAGTTCGACAATAGATGCAACCTTCGTGAAAGCTATTCCGGCTCTCATTTCATTAGCCAATGACAAAGGAAAAATCCGTATTCTATATAGAAGTTACTTTCACTAAAAGCCACCAACCACGTTCCACATGCATAAACGGTGTAAAAAATTAGATATGGATTCAGCGGACAATGAACAGTTACAATTATCGCTTACACAAATACAAATATTTCCACCTAATTCCGCACTCATCAAAACTCAACACTGCAATTAAGCTTACAAACAACTCAATTGACCGATCACACTGAATATGAACATCCAATTCGGTGAGATCAAAATTGGTGACGATGTGGGGATTTGTAAGGGCGAACTACGAACAATACGGAAGCTGAGGGAGAATATGGAATACCTGCGACGGAGAAGCTTGGATAACGAGCTCGTTTCCAATGCGAGCAAGGCATGTGACTGAGCGAGCGAAGGTCTTGAGAGCATTTCCGCTCAGACTGAACTCCATTTTTTCTCACTCTCTCGCCGTGAGAGAGAGAATCGCACTGGTTTTGTATTGGCGGGAAGACGGAGGAAGAACGAAGCGCGAAGTTTCAGAGTGTGGTTTATGAAATTCTTTTTAGTAAAAGTTAGGTTAAAAAACATTTTTTAAATGACGATTTATTTCCTCACTTCATGATTAAACGATTCAATTTTTTTAAATAACTAAATTTTAGTACGTAACAATTTAATTTATATAATTTAAAATTTAGTTTTTATCTCCAATTTTTTATTAATTTTTTTATAGGTAGATTAATAAATCGATGTGGAACTAAATATGTTTATGCATTACAGAGATAAAATCCTTTTACACTTAATTTTGTGAGATTTTTTAACCGTAGATAATAGATTGTTTTAAATTTTAAACTACATCAATTAAATTGTTACATACTAAGTATAAAGATTAAATTGTTGTCAATTTGAAAGTGACTAAATCATTACTTTAGTAAAATTATAGAGACTGATGTTTTTAACCTTAACGTTTTTACTTGGATTAAATTGTAAATTTATAAGTTTAACTATACCCTTTAAATTTGTTGATCGTTTTCTTTTTGTTTATTCCATTCATTTTATAAATTTCAATTATATATTTGAACTTTTTATTTAATTATAATAAAACTCTCTTTGACGTCGCAATGAGAGTGGAAGTGTTGTAACGACATGTAGTTCAACTCTAACGATTATAAACTAATGACTACACACATTTGCATTAGTCAAGTTATTGAAAAACAAAGACTTTGATTTGTCAAAAAAAATGACAAAAGAACAAAAGAAAAATTAATCAAATTAAATTAATTTCCTAAGAAGAGTCCTCCTCGATTTACGAAGAAGGTCCCATTCTGGGAGGGAGATACCACTCTGGAAGAGCTAGAATTCCAACATTATGTCAGGACCTACTGATCAAAGGGACAGTTTCTATAGGGCGTAGGCTTCCAAAAGGTTCCTCGCTTAAACAAAAAAGCTTTTGGAATTGAAAATGCCTTTCGAATTTATTCCCAAATCGGTGACGAAAATTTGGATGGTTAGAACTAGGAGAGTGGAGCGAGGACGGGAAAATGGGAGAGTCGAGAGAGGATGCTAGAGACTGATGGAGGGAAATATTATTTGTTTGTCCCATGATTTCTCCGTCAAACAAACAAGCAAGAAAATAATAGTATGTACTAAAATGAAGCACTTTTTGAAACATTGACAGTAAAAATGTCAAATTTTAAAATATAGGGACCAAAAATATAATATTTTATCAGATTTCATTTTAAATCATTTAAACAATTAAACACAACCCACTAAAAATGATTACCACGTCGATCAAGACTAAAATGTTAAATCATCTCGAAATAATGGACGATACATTTATTTTAATAGTGCAATTCAAAAACGTGTCTAATATTTTGACTAATTAAACTACATACCCTGTGTAATGAGATATTGCAAATATGTGCAAAATGTATGGAAACTTGAGAGAGAAGGTGGGGGAATAGATTTGGACGAAGGAATTAGATTCTGTGATAAGATGTGAAATGGATTGGAACATTAGATCATCTAAATGTTGCAATTTGCTGCATATATGTGTGCTTGCCCATCAACGAGATTCTCATGTTGGTTACTTCAAAAATTTAACCATAATATAATTAAATTGGGAGAATAACAACTACAAATCTTGTACTCACTACGATTAAACTAATTCGATGACTATGATAGAAAAATGAAAAAAACAAATCGTTTTATTTTATTTTTTAAATATAATGAGTTGACAAATTTTCAATAGTGGTGAGGATAATATTCGATCCTCATTGTTAAGGAGTCGAGTGTTATGTATCCCAACTATATATGTATATTGTTGATACCGATTTATGGGTGTGGTCCACACGTACGTCTTCGTCTCCAAAATCTCGTTGCTTGCACACAGAAATCTAATATCAGTGTAATGTGCTCTACCGAATGCACTTATATGCTTAAGTTATAACTTGGGTTGGAGCAAATGAGTATGAAGTAATAGGACTCTGTATTGTGGTTTGGTACGAGGTGTCTCAACTACATGCGATTTTCTTATTGACCCGATCCACATGGTTTATATATATGTATATAAACTATTAATTTATTTTTTTTTTAAGGAAAAACAAACGCTAAAGTTTTTTTTAGTACTAACATGTTGGGGAGGGGATTCAAACTCACAATCTCTTGGTTAGAGGTATATGTCAATTACTGTCGAACTATGCTCACTTTTGCAATAAATGCTAAAGTAGATAAAATGAAGTATGATTGTGTATTTTTGTTGTTGTTGTTTTCTATCTAGTGGCGATACTTCGAGATCATTGTTTTAAATTAGACAAAAAATGGAAATATAAAATATATGCCGGTTATATTTTTATGTTGAGGAATGCATTTTGTCATTTCTCATCCATATGTATTTTGTCTTAATTGATTGTCAACTTCAACTTAACTCAATTAGTTAACGTGTTTATCTCCAACTAAAAAATCGTAAATTCGAATCTTCAATCTCACGTACTGGTACGTTTTAAATAAATAAATAAATAAATAAATACATGTTCAAATTGAAATTTATGTGTATATAAATTTAAAACAATCATGATATAAAATTCGTGAGGACTTGTTGTGTACATATTATTTGCAATAACTTTTCATATTTGCCTCTTGCCCATTCCTTGGGGACTTAGTTGTTTGTTAAGAGAATGAGATTATGGTTTTAGCATACAGGAGAGTTGTCCTACCGTCCTACTATATCTTGTTGATACTTGCACGTTTATTCTATCTTCGCAAAATTACCGTTGCACCCGTGATAGAAGTTACAATAAATTAAAACAACATAATCACGAACTCGAGGATCTATATTGTCTACTTTTTCATGTCTACATTATTTCAACATTTTTATGTGGTCATTGGCCAAAATGAAGGTGACCCATAAAAATTAAAAGTTTGCACGTGTCATTTTATCTTACATGACCATCTTTAAAAATCATTGCATGGAGTTATAGTTGAAGGATTATTATTATTATTATTTTGGTTTGAGAGAATAGTTGGCATTAAAAGTCAAAATATTAGAGCAAACAAAAATTGTAGTTAATTTTTTTTTTCTTTTTTTGGATTTTATTAAACAACAAACGGCTCGAAAAATAACATAAATAATAAATAAATCAAATATGTTTTTTACCAATAAAAAAAGGCAAATTAGAATATATTAATTGTTAATAAAGGCTCACTTCAAAGGAAGAAATAGAATAGGAATAAAAACAATGATATTGTATATGATGTGAATGAGAATGTCAAGAATGGGGATTTTTAATGTCCAAGAGAATATATATAAAAGAAAAGGGGAAAAAAAGCTCTCTAGAAATTGAAAGAATGAGAATATTAAAGGTGAAATTTGGTGGGTATTGTTCTTTGTGTGCGCTTTTATTCTCCTCTTTATTTTATTATTATTATTTTATAAATTTTATCATTAGATATGGAAATATATTGGTCCCAAATGAATCAAATCAAATATTGGGGATAAAAAGAGATAAGAAGATGGATTGGTGACTTCTAAATAATGTTAGACCAATGAAATTAAATATTTTTACTATTTACCATTTTAACCTTGATGGTCCACGCTTGGTATGATAGACAATGTACTCTAGGGTATATTTGAAGGATATTGTGGTAATATAACATGTGGGATTTTATTTTGTTTATTTTTTTTAAAGTTCAACTGCATATGGGATAATAATGACTTGAATTTATGACATTTTAAATATTAAAGATGTTTTCATGTTCTTTTAGTCCAATAGGAGTGAAAATTCAAGCATAACATTTTGATAGATGATACATATCAATATGCTTTAATCTGACTATACACTTGCCATGTTTCAATAGATTTAAAAATTATTATGAATATTAAAATAAAGTCAATATTCAAATGATCACTTTAATAGTAAAAAAATTGATGATAAAAAAAGAAAATTTTCAAATATATTACAAACTCAATAATCAAATCATCACTTAATAGTAAAAAAAAAATCATAATAAAAGAAGAAAACTTTCAAATATATCATAAACTCAAGTTTTAAGTATTTTATCAATTGAATTGTGTTTAGGTTAGCAAAATATATTATGCACTTCTACCCATAAAAATTTGTTTATAGATATTTCAATAATTACTAACGGTCAGTGATAGAACTTTATTAAAATTAGTGGTAAAATTGAACTATTTTAAAGTTATAAGACTTTTTTTTATATATAAGTTGAATAATATCACCTCTAACCTTTAATTATTCCATTCGGTTGGCAAATGACATATATTTTAGTATAAAAATCTCATCTGTTTATTTTTATTGGAAAGGAAACCTCATTTATTTACACGAGAGGCTGGGAAGGAGAGAAAGAGAGTTTCAACATTTCAAAATGTACCATCGCCACCAAAAAGCGCTGATATCAAAATAGAAGCCACCTGTACATTACAAAACTACCCCTCCACATACTCTTACAAGTAGTTTAAGATTTCGCATTTAGGTTGCCCAATATGGTAATTTCTTAGCAAAAAAGGAAAATTCCCTCACACGACTGAGCAGCCATTAGGATTTTCGTCGCTGAATATCTCGAGAGAACCGGACGGCTGAGATAAATATGGCTCGTAATCGGACGGTGGAGGATCAAACTCCGTCTGTACACCTGGATGAACGTACGCATAGGAATACTGCTGCGGTGTGGCGTAATGTGATTCGCTATGAGGTTGAGA